GCAATCTTAAATTATAACGGCAGTGGAAAGTAGATTCATGTATTCAACCTGGCAAATTTGTGGCCAAACGTTTTCGGACTTAAATCTAGATTCAATCATTTTTCTTCTCCAAATACCAGCACTCATAACCTTTGCTAGTTTGCCCTTTAGGAGACTACCATATTTATGTTATACTGTGATTTAAATTCACCCATCAAGACAAATCTCATGTGTAAAGCGCGGAAATTTTCTGCAACAACATAGATTAATTTTTACAACCAATCATGAAATGAGCTTTTAGGCAGCTTGTGACATTTGAGACGCATGGTCGATATATAATTTTTATAATTGGTTTTCCATTTTACTTAAGCTGAAAAATAACCCCCTCAAAACCTATTTTCTCACTCAGTAAAGTTATCTTGCTTTGCACCACTCGCTGTTGTTATCATTTTAATTAAATCAACAGTAAAATTAGATCTGTTAAAATTTATCATACTGCTTGTAATCATTAGCAATACAAAGGCTGAGATAATTGAAATATAGCAGCAGTTTGTCTATTACCAAGAAGTAGTATTTCAACAAACGTACGTACAAAAACCCCAAGTCATCAATCTATTTGAGGAAAGGATTTACTGAAGTCAAATGTCAGTATTTTCTAGGAAGAAACTGGAATGCATATGTATATACATAATTACAAACAGATTGGTATAAAAATAAAATCCCAGTTCTAAAATCCAACTGAATTTTGATTTTGAATTTTGAATTGTGATTTTGCACTGAACCTGTTCAAGCACCTGATACCTCTTGGTGTTTAGTGATCTTTCAGGAACAGCTCTATATCTGAACCTCATTTTCAAGAGCAGTCTGTTTTTCCCTTAATCTAACTGTCTATTAAATAGTCTGGACACTCTCTCCACTCTAGGTCACTGTATTTCACTCTCATCAGCTGCAGAGATTTCATCTGTCACTTTGGGGACCATCATGCAAAAAATACTCCATCTCTTCTCCCTGACCTGCTCGCACCTATTCTCTCAGGAGCTGCTGTTAGAAACCTGGAGGAGAGCAGGGGTAAGAACCACTCCATCGAGGCCTGCTGCTGCCTAACCAAAAGAGTCTGGAGCTGACAGCAGATACAGCAGGACATCGCTGCTGCTGCACCTTGCTCCTAACCGAGAGAAAGCAGCTCCTTTCTCCTTCGTTCCCATCACTGCCTTCCCCCTCCATAAGGCTGTGAACACACTCAAGAGGAGGTCTGCAAATATTTGGGCAGCTTTCACTCAGAGAAACCCTGTGGGTTTCTTGGCAGTGGAAACAGTATGTAGACAGGTACAGTCCACACTAACTGAACCATCAGGTCTAGTTTACTATCCTGCTACCTTCAGGGAGTTTCAATGCTCATTCTGTTCGTACATTTCTTTTGCTGAGGTTCAAATTATACAGTTCCAAGATCTTCCACCTATGTGACTTTCCTTCTGTTCAGTGAGCAGACTAAAGGATTACAAGAGAACAAATACTCGCAATCTGTCTCAGCCGGAATCTTCAGGTACCCTTAACCATCAAGACATAGAAAACTCTAGCAGTTGCATGGATTCAGCTCCACTTTAAAGCCAGCACAAACAAGAATGTTGTGTTCCATGGTGTGAGATCAACTATGTTTCATTAGAGTTAAGTGGTGTAGGAGGAATTTTGATAAGAAATCTCCTATGCCAGTTTGTTTTAAAAGTCCATTTGTTGAACTTTCTAACTTGAATGTATCAAAGCGTTTACCAACGCTTGCATTCAAAACATTCCTGCACTGCCACATTAAGACAGTGAACATCACCACCGCTAGTGGTAGGTACTGTGAGTACACAGCACTTTAAGGGCATTCTGGGTAACTGACTTCATTACTCCCAATAAAAGCTCTTTACTTTCAAATTTGAGTGCTCTATCTATAATATCTTGGACCCCAAAAATCCCAGGAATTCATGATACAATTAAAATTAAAAGCCAACTTTTTCTGTCCTAATAGGAAGTTCAGCAAAAGGCATCTCCTACACTCAAATCGGATACAACATTACAGACACATGGGATAGAAAACACTGTATTCACAGGAAGCTGTTTATGTTGTCTTTTAATCAAGAGACCTCCCCTCCTCCCAAATATCCCAGTTATTTCTCAGGGGAAGAGGGGGACATGGTTGGGGCAGGGGAGAGATGGAAGAAGCTAGGAGGACATCTTCCTTCTCGATACAATCACTTCTGTGACCCTTACTCACATATAGTACTCAGCCTACTAAAACAGAATACGCATTTCAAAAGAAGTGTCACTAAAATGAATACCATCTATCCTGAACAGATCAGCTCAGCCCTCATCTCTCCAGATGCTTTATAATTTTTCTTCCTGAGTAAACTGAATGTAATCCTCCTCTTCCAAAAATCTGATAAGGAGCTAACATTTGACATGAAATCTGTGAAATACAACACAATAGAATCTCTTGAAGTATTGGTTAGTCCATCTTCCTAGGTCAAAGGACAATCACCTGCATACCCATTTACTGTTTCCCCCAAATTTTCTCCTTCCCTAGGAGTCCATTTTCCATTTGCGATAATATACACATTCTGACAGACAAAGAATGAGAACTAAAGTTTACTTAGACAAAATTCATACAACTTCGGAGGGAAGGTTACAGAATCCTATATAAAGTCACTGAAAAAAACTGCCTTTATAACGGTTTTAAAAAGCCTAACGTAAAAACAAGAAGTTTGGACATAAGAGCTGCTCACAGTGTGGTAGAAGAGGTTTCATCAGCATGCATAAAGTCTGGCCAAAGAACAGAAAGTGATGGATTCAGAAGCTCCGTGGACACTTACAATAAACTAGCTGAGTTTCAAAATTCAAATTATGTGAGAAAAGAAGTGTCAGATTTTAATTTCTTTCGTCACAAATTGATTTCAGCAGGTTCTCATGTAAACTGTACACATTTAATGAGGCAGTACGGATACCTCACAGAATGAAGCAAACCTATCTTGCCCAGTAACATAAACAGAAGATGATCCAAACGATTCACTCACAAAACAAAACTGAAGACAGTTTACACATACATTTTCTAATGACCACTGCAATTCACTTAAGTTCTCTCTGAAGCTGGTGAGATGACTACTTCTACTATCAAGAACCGAAGCTTCATTTGATCAGATGACTTAGATAAGGAGCGTGAAACTGCTAAATCATACACAGGTGTTTCTTCCTTGATTAACAGATTACTGTAACAAAAACAAAACTGAAGACAGTTTACACATACATTTTCTAATGACCACTGCAATTCACTTAAGTTCTCTCTGAAGCTGGTGAGATGACTACTTCTACTATCAAGAACCGAAGCTTCATTTGATCAGATGACTTAGATAAGGAGCGTGAAACTGCTAAATCATACACAGGTGTTTCTTCCTTGATTAACAGATTACTGTAACAACAATTTTTTTTTTTGGGGGGGGGGGGGGGGGGGGGGGGGGATTATTAGGCATTAGAAATTTTTTAGGCCAAGATAGCACCTTAGCATATTCAAGTCCACAACATCCAAGAACAGTAAATCACTTTTTTCATGACCCAATACAAAAACAAAAAAAACATCAGTCCTTGAATTTGTGAGCTTTAAGATTTGTAAAGCTTTAGTTTAAATAGCATTTGCCGCCCAAAAGATGGCAGGACAGGATTCAGATTGAATCAAGAAGTGATGCTAACACTGGTCCCACGTTTTCCCCATGCTGACCAGCAGAACAAGGCTGGCACAGCAGTCAATGTCTCCTGAAGAACGTTGCTGTCTTTATGCTTGAAGATATTCTGAGTCAGTGTGAATGCATGGTATTCAGGCTCCAACTGAAAGAATTATTTCCTTAAGTTTCATGTATAGCCACTGGTAAAAGATGGCCTCTACAAAGCTCTCCAGCTTAACAAATGCTCTAAAACACATTCAAGAGAAGCCTCTCTTCCTGTACAAGGAAGGAGCTCACGCAAGCTAAGCTCGTAAAGCAAAGCATCTGAAACATCAACGCTCCTTGGCACTTTTAGTAGTTGGCACTTGGGCAAAAAGTTTCAGCAGCAACTTTACAGTCCTCAAATACAGACTGAGGCTGTTAAGTGTAACCGAAATCCTCCATATTTCAAAACATGGTATGTAGCAATAGGAACACTGGGATGAAACTTACAATTGCCTCTAATGTTAATATTTCAACTCTCTTTCTCAAAACAGTCAAGACTTAAGCAGCAATCCAATGTATTAACGATCTTTTTTTAAATCCTGAACTACTGCAATACAACAAGTTCCTGTTACTTCCAGAACAAGAGTTTACTCAAGCATTTTTTCTGGGGTCCTACTGTATACTGGTACCAATGGCCAGTTTCTTCTGTGACATTATCCACAGAAGTATGAGCTTTCAAAATGGATTTACTACCTATTTTAATGTAAGAGCACAGACAGGAAGAAGGTAAGTTCAGAACGCCGATGATTATTTCTTCAGGATAATAGAAACATGAATAAGATGGCAATGCGCTATGGTTTGGAGGCTTCCTTTGGAAGAAGAGAAGGTTGCTGCTGTTTTTTGAAATTACGCAAGCCAGATATTTTAAGAAATTTTCACAGGGAAGAAAAGAGTGGCTATTTGATTCAGCGACTGATGGATGCAGAGCTGAGAGTTGGAATCTCTGCTTTTCTCCTTGGATATCAAACACACCAGTAAATGCCTAGCTTCCATTTCATTTACAGGAAGGCTACTAGCAATGCAACGCTGTCACCTACCTTTTTAAAACGTTTTCAGAGTCTTTCATGAAAAGTATTTAATATTACTCTATATTTTAAGTATTCAAGTGTTTCTGCAAATCATTATTTCAAATTTCTCTATTTTTATACTAGTAGAAGAGTTCTTCAAAATAATTAGCAAAAGCAGTTCTGTGCAATAATAGCAACAAGAAAACACTAAAAACCAGGATGATGTAATATAATTGCTGAAAACACTTGTGACATACGAATAAATTTTACTTACAGGTGAGCTATCCTTTCTCCTTTCAGGGGAGGCAGAACATTTCCCGAACCAATCAAGCAGTTATGCACTATAGCGAGGCACTGCTGCACATCATCTCTTAAAACAAAGAAGAAAACATGATCACTTTAACAGTTATGCCAAACGTTTGAAAATATACTACTGACAAATGTATCTGCTTTCAAAAGGTTTTATAACATTTTTAAAGCTCTATCTTGTTTCTAAACACAACAGGATGCGCTACAGAAAGCTGTGCTTTTCTGGTCCAGCCTAACGTTACTGTAGAACAACATTCAACTTCATTTTCTGAAAAAAAATGTTTTGGAAATTTTACTTTCTGAAACAGTGAAGGAAGCGTCAATGAAATGAAACAAATTGATTTAAAAAAAAGAAAAAAAGACAGCTTTACCAAAAATGTTTTTGAAAAATTTTATCTAGTCTGAGATCAAATTCTATTACAACTGTTTTTCCCCTCTTCTCCAAAAGGAGAAGAGTTCTTTCCACCAGGAGCAGGATGAGAGAATATTTTCTTTATAAGTGAAAATGTTATGGTCTGATGATAAAACACAATTTAACAACAGGAACACTTCTTACTTTTTTCTGTGCTCTGGTAGAGAATTATGGCATATTGTTTAAGGCCTTCTCATTTAAAGCAGCATCATTTAATATACAGCTACAAATTTTGGCCTTTGTTCCAGTCTTTGCGCTAAGCAACTCTGATTTGTAAAATAATTCCTCCCAGCCCTACTACGAGGCTTCTAAGCTGAACAGGTCTTAGTCCTTACGCATTACTTATGAACTTTCTAAATACTCGTTTAACAAAGACCACTATAATTTTTCATTTCCTCTTTTGTAATACAAAGTCTTATTCTGAAGCACCTAAGTATATTAAAAACATTTAATTTCCAACTACCAGCCAATGAAACACTGAAACAAGAAATCTGAGGAGAATTCTAGTTTCAGAAATTGTAAGTGCTCGAGTTCAAAGCAGTAGAAGGTTCATTCAGCCTCTCATTTATTCACATCTGTTACTCACTCAGCTACAAAGAGTATTCTTTACTCCTGCAGCTTTCCTGACTTGCCTTCCAACTTAATTGGAGATTCAAACATTTGGCTATATTTTCCCAAATCATCATAATTTATTTCTATTAGGTTGCACAGTGAATCCTTGACCAAACCAAAGTCCAATTCTGTTATAAACGGCTTTACTCATAAGGTATCAGACAGAAGGGAAACAAAGAAAAGAAACATATGAATAAACCAAAGCCTTAAATATGATGCTGGAACTTGATTCCAGCGATGCTGGAACTTGATTATAGACAGAAAAATATTTAGGAGCCTGATATACCCTGCTTTATGCAGGGCAGCACTTTACAGCATGAGGTATACTGTCACATGCTATTATGAACATCAGTTGAGGTACATACTGTTGCAAGGGTCAGAAGCCTTAAGATGAGAAATAAAGAAAGGTTGAGGTATAACGCTTGTAAATAGCTTTAGCTATTTGTCACTTATCAGTGCTTTAGCATATACTAACTTGATGAGTATCTTATGCATTGGAAATCATCCTTAGTTTCCACAGTTTCATGTTGACAAAGTTTAACAAGACTGGCTACAACTTTTCTTGTCTCCACTCTCCTCTGTCGATGTCACTGACTCTGTGTTGCCTCCTTAGTTAGGCCATCACCACTTTTTTCTGGGAAACACTATATAGTGAATCAGAAACCTCTTCTGGTTAAGAACACCAGTTAATACACCACACCTTTTACTTGCAGGAAGTTAGTGGGGAGAAGCAGATAACCAAGCTAAAAATCAGTCTGCGCCCCATTTCATAGCTTAGGCACACAAATTGGTTGTGCCAGAGTAACAAGAGGTAGTCTAGAGGAAGAACTTTAGTCAGCAAGATAAGTGGAACCATAATTGGTAGCATAAATACAAAACAAAATAAAAAACCCTCCTTTTAAAGACACTGTTTATATGGGTACAAAGCCTCTTCTGTTTGGGAATTTTTAAAAGGAGCGTTTCTGTTCAAAGTAATCTGTTACCTATTTCATGAAATACACTTCCACCTAAATATACTTTATAAGAATCAAAAATCTGGGAAAGATACTTGCAATAGTATCCAAAGACAGTGCAACATTGTAGTATTTTACTCTCTCACTTTTGTAGTGCAAACGTGATTGGCAATAACTACCAGAAACAAACACTAGTGGATACACAAATTCTCTATATTACATACCACCACTGACCTGGACATTTCTAGTTTTCCAGTTGCATAGTGCTCTAGTTTGGTGAGCTCAGGCTGAAGAAAGGTATCCAGCAAATAAAAAGCAAAGTTTATTTCCTCAGATGAAGGAACATGCCACTGGATATCCAAGTTCCACAAGTCACCTGGTTTACCCCAGTCCTACAATAAATAAGACATGCTCTATTAACCAAACTGTGAAGCTGAAATTTCCATAAAGAAAAAATAGCATTTAATATTGCTAAAGAAGCCAACACACAAACTAGCTACCGCTGTAAAGCGGTCATTCCAAAAGAAACAAGATCATCATAAAACCAAACAGAAACCCCAAACCTGGTATACTATCTACAATAGTTTGGTCTTTCCTTTGGCTATGTACAAATTCAGAATATTCTGAAGTCTAACTTTGACATTTGATATTCCTATAGAGAACACGAAGAGGCTAGCCCATTTTGTAATACTCCTTTGCAGTTTTGAAGTACTATCTGGAAATTTGGCATTTTCGTTTTTAAAATGAGTTAGATTTTAAGTTAGACTTTCTTTACAATACCAGGTCATCTTATAACAACGACAACTTTTCTTTCGTTTACAAAAAGTTCACATGTGCTATAGAATTGATATCATGAGTACTTGCAGAAAAAAAAAAAAAGGATGTTTATTATTAGTTCATATTCATAGATGAAGTTCTGTGCTTACAATTACACCAATTAACAGGCAAGCTCTTGAAAGCCCCGGTGAAATCTTGACTTTCCATTTCCTGTCTTCGTCCAATTTTATGTGGTAATTTAGGATTACAAAACTTCACAATCTGTTACTAAAACGCCTAACTGATCTGACTGGACAAAAAGTTCAAAAAACTATGATAGCACACTTACTCAACATAACCTGCTATTACTTTTCCTCCTTGGAAGACCAGGCTCGTCCTAGTCTCCACGAGTATTATTTGAGAAAGTGACAAAATTAGGATTTTATAAGGGGGCAGGATAGGAAGTTGTAAGTGACAAACTCACTCTTCATAACAATTAAGAGTTGATATAATATACTTTCTAAATTAGACACTTATCTATGATAAACACTAAAGGACTGTGGGTTTTTTTCCCCCCTTCTGTTTCCACAGGAAGCATTTTAAAAATTACATGCCTTAACACAAAAAATAAAGATTTTTCTTTCTGTGTTTTTTAAAGGAGTATCTGGTCCTACTTGATTTTCTCATCATTTCATAGGTCTGTACTGGCCTTCAGGAATAAGCATGAGATTTTCTGTAGTTTAAGTTGCATACAAGAACATTTTTAGGCAAAAATGCAATTTTATACTCAAATAGACCATCTTACCAGCCTGTTGTTCGTCTGTGATACTGGTAAACCAACCTCAAAGGCATAACAGTAGACCACCACATTACTTTTGTTACTTTCAGTAACTTTTAATATTGCCACTTCTACTTTGATTTTTATCTCAAAATGAAGTTCAGTGTAGTGTCATTATTCATTTGTTATTCTGCCTTTAGAATATTGTATCTTCCTTCCTGTAGCTGTTCTGCACTGATGTATTTACACCCATTTTGCATGCACCCCTCACTACTCATTACATCTAATGACCGCATTAATAGGAAGAGGAACCAGGAAAGGCTGTAACTCTCATCTGCAAAGGCAGATGAAAGTTAGTCACAAATACTTCTGTAACTGGGATGTTTAAGTTAGAAAACAGCAAAATTCTCCTTCTTAACCTCAAAGTTAACAGGTTAACTGCACTTCCTGATAGCCAAGTCTCAGTTCAACATATCCTGTATTACAACATAAGAAACATGAGCAGGTACTTTCAACATAATTTGTAATGATTGCATTACTATAATATGTCATTTTATCACATACACACACATATCTCAAGCATGTTGTGGTATAAAACTACTCAACACAGTATTCATTTTTTGCTCTCAATATATTTTCAATATTCAAGTAACTTGTAATTTGCTAAACACATTTCAAAGGTTAAAGCATCTTTCAATTACACTTTCCATAGCTGCTACCCATGTTCAAAATACAAGTAAAATAGCACAGGATTGTTTTTAAAAAAAAAGTCAAATCCTCTAATCCTAAATAAATGAAAATCCTTGCCTTGATAGGAAAGTATTCAGAAAGAGGCTTGTCAAAGCCACCTGGCACACTGCAGTATTCTGTGGGGTAGATAAGTGTAGCAGAACGAAGAAGATGGTGCAGTAGGTTACAAGACAGAATGTAACCCTGCTTACAAGTTAAGTGTAGGGTTCGCTGCAGAATCTTCCCAAGCTGCTCCCTGTATGGCAGCAACTTCTTTCCATCCACTCGAGTGATCTAATAGGAAAGAAATATTTCAAAAAGTAAATTTAACAGTAGAGAGAAGACTATACCAGTCAAGTGAACCTGTACCTGGTTTCAGTCCATAAATCACACCTAATTCAACTGGAAGACTGAACTCATACATGAACTACCACTTCTACTGCTGTTGAAAATGCTTAAGTAACACAACGACTGCAAGAGTGTTTCTTGCTCTCAAATTTTCTATTTTTACTCATTAACATTGAGACTCATTTTAGACTTTTTTTTTTTTTTTAAACAAAAGGATTTTAAGTTTTTCCCTGCATTGATCCCTCTTCCCTATCCCTCAATTATTTGCATCAAAGATGCTTCAATTTTCTGTCCTGTACATAGCATACCTTTATTTTCTTCAAATAACATTGACTTTCACCTCATACAGAGTTAGATCAGAAAAAGAAGTTATGCAATACATTTCATACAACTGTTTATTTCACAGAGGTTTATTGTTCATTTCTTTCAGGGGCATTAAATAGGATTCTGTGATGGCGCATACATGCACAGGGGAGAGCATTCTATGCAATACCTCTGACAAAAGCTGAAGATTCCAGAGTAGCTCCTTATCTAGTTCTTCGTCACGTAAGACGTCATCATCTAGAGAAACAAGCGATAAGCACTGCTGTTACAGTTGTTGACTGCAACTGACGCTTGCAGTCAGTTTTACAAAAAAAGATGAACAATTAACCAGATTCTTGCATCTCAAACTCTACTCCCAACCCTTTTCTTGCAACCCTTCCAATTCATTCTTCACCCCATCCACCTAAGTTACTTCAGCACATTTAATCTCTTGTTTTTGATAAACAGATAAATAAGTTTAGAGACATTTTAAATTGCTACTATTTTTTTTTAATAAAGAACAACGGTCTTGTAATTTGATTTCTGTCTTGAAAGTAAATGCACTTTTTTTTAAATAAAGGAAGTCACAGGCAAAATCAATTTTCCATCACTGAGATTAATTTGGGGGGGGGGGGGGGGGGAGGAAAAGAGGAGGGGAAAGGAAAATGTTCGTATTGTTTTTATGTTCAGTAAAAAACGACCCAAAATGAAGCAAGTGTAATATTAGAAATATTTTAAACTTACTGACAGTAAGGTGAGTTATAACACTGCAGCAATGGGGTACAAAGAGCTTCAGGGATTCTTCTGGGCGGCACTGGAAATAGCATCATAAATAGTCCATTAAGAAAAACCATACACCTTATGTTACTCAAAGGATTTTTATCAATGTGTGCATTAACAGTACTATTGAAAAAGAGAGAGGGATAGGAAAAATCATATCTCTATGATCAAAAAAATCAACTCTAACTACAATTCGAGTCAGACTGACTACGATTTTTGAACTCTCAATAAAACCTACACTAAGTACAATGCAACTAAATTGAAAATATTTTGTCAATTATCCTCTTGAGATAGTGCCAAATGCAACCATCATGTTTTAGAAGAGTAAATATTAAGAACCGTCTATATTTACAAGAAAAATTAAAGACCTTACATATGAAAAAGTGGTAGTATGGGCTTAAAAAAAAAAAATAAAGATCAAGTGAAGTCACAGCATTCTCTCTCACTTTTACTGCAGCTCGGCACATATCAGCAACCATCCGACCAGCAACTCTTGTCTCAAATATATTTGAAACAGCAAAGTTAAAAACCTTCTCCAAGGCCACCTAAAAATGAATATAAAAGATGGAAGTTACCTTTTCTTTTTAAACAAGGTATCACCAAATGTTTGATGTTACACAGAAGAAGGCATCTGTGCATAACGCCGTACCCTTCTGAAATATATAATCGCAAACATGATTCAAATTAAAAATCAAAACAGAGACACAGAAGTCAGAAAAGTTCTGCAGAAGACCTGTAGCCACCCTCTTAATTACAGTTGGCGATATTATGAAAAAAGAAGATTAAAAAAAAAAAAAAACACTTACATGAATAGTAACTGCTCAGGAAGAAAATTTTGAATGTATCGGCACATGAGTTGCTCTATACATGACTCATGTCTAATTGTACCACACTTAATTATTTTACTGCACTGAAGAATAAAGGCTGCTACAAAGTAACAATGAGAAAAGGTCTGTCGCAACAGCTTCATAGTTCGCAGATTTTCGCTTTTTCTTCTTGTTTACTCTAACACTCATGAAAAATGCATTAGTGTCCGCTATCACTAAAATCCATTCGATTACAGATAGGTTCCCTCTTCCCCCTCCACAAGTTTAAAAATAGAGCGCTTTAACCGGTGTCATAATGGGACCCTGCTTTCAGCTGGAAGTTGGAGACGCTTCTAAAGTGCTCACTTTGGAAAGAAAGGAGACCAGATACTTCCTGCTTACTGATACAAGCTTGGGGAAGCTTCTGAGAAACCACACAGTGAAGTGGTTTTCACTCAGTAAAATGAGTTTCCACACAGTCCTCTGAAGGGAAAACTATGCTATTTCACATGTGGGAAAAGTAAATCCAAGATATCCGTCATTTAAATAAACAGAGATTTAAGTGGACAGTATACTCTAAAGCAGGTTAATATGTTAACACCTTGCAAGGCAGGTTGAATTATACACGATGCAGATCGCATGTGATTACTTCAATGATGAATAATAAGAAAAATACAAATTAAACACAATGCCAATACAAATATTTAAGATTTAAACTACACAGAAGATTTTGGATAAAATCATACCTCTACGTGTCCAATGCAATGGTTCCAAATGTACTAAACCTACCATCTCCAAATATACCTAAAATACAATTCGAATGTAAACAGGCTACAATGTGTTACCGACCTCCAAGGAAAGAATCTGTCCATGTAAGAGTATGGATTCTCCAACCCCCTCTCTCACAGTTACTTTAATCCAGATAATTTTTCTGACCCAATAAGCCTCATGGCTCCTTGAATTTTTTGCCCATTTGAGGGAGTGGTAGGGAGAGGGAGAAAAGTGGAAAGCAAGGAAGTGAATTAAGTTAGCATTACCATCAAAAGACATGAATATCACATCCTAAAAGTATACAAATAACAGAATGATACAACATACCAGCCGTTCACAATAAAAAAAATTAAGCCTCAAATAAGATCAGATGGAAAGTCCATGTTACACCTACCTGAAATATATCTTTTGAACACTGAGTAAGGATTGTGCTGAAAGTAGAAGACAGACCTAATTCCACTAGACTCTCTAGATGAGTCATTTTCTCAGTTTCAGTCTCTTCTCTGGTTTGTTCTAGCGTGCTGCTTTCTATAAGTCCAAAACATCTACATGGATAGAATAATTGCAATTTAGTAAACAGAACTAGGAAGTTTATTAAAGTTTTTCATGCCAAGCTTTCACCAATACGTAGCTTACTCACCTATCCATAAACTGTAGTACGAAATCCTCAAATTCAGCAGTTGCAGAGCACAGTTCTCTTTCCACCTAAAACGTCCCAATGTGAGAGAAACACAAGTGGGCTTTTAAGGAAGCATAATCTACTTTGTTTCCTACAGTAACAAGTTCAAGAACACTTTCCATTTAAGTGAGATGTACTACAGTTTATTTTTCAAACTGATTATTTGTATAGTTTCAAGTATGCTACATGAAACAACCATCACATGTTCTTTGCACTGTGCTACTAGATTTCCTGGCTCAAACAAACTCTTGGGGTGAAACAGGTCTGTCTCTAGGGATACAGCCTTTGGCCTCACTACTGATCCTCCTTTCCAGCAGGGATGTCAGCAATGTATTTACGTTAATCATTCAGCGTACAAACTTCTCTGATGATTTGAGTGCTGCAATTCTGGGGCAATGAAATTAACCTTTTTCCAAAAGTTTTTAGAGCATTCAGAATCTGTCTGATCTGTAACTACTAGCTGTTCTCAAAACTACAAAGACAATCTCCTAGCAGCAGACAAAACAAGTTTTACATAGCAGTTTCAACTCACATAGCTGACACTGCTGCTGCCTCATACGTAATGCTCCAAATACAGCTTCACTATCTGTGCTTGAACTGCTGTTATCAAAAAAAAAAAAAAAAAAAAAACCCCCCCACCCCCCCCCCCCAAAAAAAAATCATTCAAAAGTCTAGTGGTAAATAGAGAAAGCAGAGAAACAGAAAAACTGCTTCCCAGGCGCTCCTGTATTTTTCACTACATGAAAAAGCTCTTATGTAAAGAAAAGCATTGGAGGAATGGAGAGCAGGGAATTTTAAGATTACAGATGTATACAGACAGCGCTCTGAAGCAGCGGACAGGTGCGGAGATAGTGTCAGTGAAGGGGCAGCAAAGGACAGAACACAGAAGGGGGAGATGAGGCTCACTCTCTAAAGATGTTACTAGCTCTTCATTAGAGGAGATTAACAAGCATCTGAAGAGACAGCAACAGCACCTTAATCAGAAGAGAGAAGCATGACTACAGGAACACTTTTAAAAGAGATGTAAGTATATTTAAATGCTTTCCCATAAAATGTAAACAGCCTTTCAGTGCTCAGGAAGGCATTAGTTTTCTGAAAAATAAATACAAACAGAAGCAGCATCCCATTATTTTTAAACTTAGGAAATTTTCAGTAATAGGAGACCAAGCTCCTTCCAGAGCATCCCAGACTTGGTTGCCTTTTACATTGCATTATGTTGGACTAGTTTCCAGCTAGAAGTGATACGTATACATCTTACAACAACATTGGAGTCACTTGCATTTTCTTTTTGATTTGTTATCTTAAAAGTTGTAAGGTCATAACAAGCTTCAAAAACTTTAATAGTAATGAAGCTGCTATTTTATCAGAATTCATATAAAAATTTTGGTAGCAAGGGACCTCTAGAGACAACCTAGTCCAACCTCCTACTCAAAGCAGGGCTAGCCCAGAGTCAGATTAGGCTGCACAGTGCATTGTTCAGCTGAGTTTTGACATAAAAATATTAAACCATTTAAATTTTTTACACATTTCCACAACCACCTATCACTAAGAAGCAATGCCAAGAATACATGGCCAATTCCTACGCTGATACCAGCTCCATCACATTGACCAGAAGCAAATGTGATCCACAATTTATTTTTTTTTTAAATGTAACTTTACTTACACCAAGATGACAGTAGCAAACCAGTAATGTATCTGAAGAGACATTACACTGCTAGAAATTAAGAACTGTAGGTGACAACTTTATATTTATAACTGCATAGCATTCTTACCTCTGAGAGGTCATCTCTTTCTTGCAATACAGATGAACAATCTACTAAAGGCACCAAAGTAGAAAATGTTGCAATAAACTGGAATGTAATCTGTTGAGAGTTGCAAACAGCTCTTTAATATTACTCTATTATACACAGTAAAAAAACTTCTGGGATTAAGGTACAGGAGCCAAAGCAGAATCATCACGCACACACACACAAAATCCATAAACTAGTCCTCCTACCTCAAAACCTCAACCATTTCTGATTCTGGGCAAAAAAACCCAAACCCCTTAAAGTTGAGACTATACAAAGACAACAATCAAATTGCTGTTTAAAAACAAAAATAAAAAACCCATACTTTTATTTTCTGCTGAATTTTAAAGTCATAAAAGCCAATTAATGTTTTCATTGTTTGGACAGTCAATGAATACAAATTCCTGAAGATGTGGGCTTTTAAGACCTGATTTAATAGATTTAGTAAAGAAAAGAAAAGATCTTTCTATTGATTTTAAAATACAAGGAATATTTGGTACTAGCTTTGGAACATTTACTTTATCTCGTTTAACAGTCCAACAAATCAGTACGCTGCTTAACGATCTGTTGTTAAAGATTCACTTGGCGTTGTCTAATAAGCCAAAAGCAATACCATAAGCTAGAGGTTTGTAACATTAACTTTTGCAAATAAAATCGTGTAGGAACAGAGATGTCACAAAACCAGGCTAAGAAACACAAGTTTTACTTGCTCTCATAGCTGCCAGAGTGAGCTAATTAGTTAACCATATTCTAAAAAGAGGTAAAGTTTATACACTTACCATGCATTTGCTGAAGTCATTTGGATCCACCCCCGGCAATGCTCTCATCAGTAGAGGTAGCATGTGTGTCGGACCTTCAGGAAACCACTTCCCCCCAGATACCAGGCTACGAGCTACTCCAATTACACAGCTTAGAGTAGCTGTGAGCTGATGAGGTTCGGTCAATGTCTCAAGTGCAGGATATGTTCTATAAAGTTTCAGAGCAGCCATATTAGAAACAGTATCAATTCTAAAATCTTGAGAGAAATTGGATTGTATTTTTTTTAAACACAAAAAAGGGTATAAAATTTCTACAAGAAGATATTTTTATGCTAATGATTCAAGACTGTTTTTGCAATTTACTTCCAATGGACCTAACACTGTTCTTTTAGAATATGCTCCTTCCAGCTGACCAGTCCTATTCACAACAAATTCAGAACAAAATAATTTGTTAGTAATTGCAACACAGCAATTAATAACTTCATGGACTTCTAGAGTCACGGCTATTATGTTGTTGGTTTTTGAACTTTAAGGACCAAACCCCAACAGGTGGCATTGTTCAATTATATGTTGCTAACAGATTATCAATAAGTCAGTCCTTATTACAGGCAGGTGGTTCTTGCAAGCATGAAAATTTGCCTTGATTGCCTCTAAGTAGATAAGGGATATGTTATTTAACGTTACATTAAAATTCATATTTTTCTTTAACCTGTTAAATTACAAGATTTTTAAACCTGCATTTTTTACACCAAGCATTTTAAATAAACTGCATCAGATTTCATACTGTTACTAACCACCTACAGCTCCAACGGGAGTCATCGTGCCACCATGACCTACATCACTCAAAGCATAAAGGACCAACATCTACTCAACAAAATGAACGTGGAATTCCAACCAAGACAAATATACTAGTGATAGTTTGATCTACTGAACACTCAGTCTGCTCTTAAAACAGGAATTATAGTCATACCCAACATGGACTTCTACTGCTGTCTTTCTTGGAACTGTTATGTTTGAACTGTTTTCACGTAAGAGCAGGTTTATCAAGTTTTTATAAACAGCGGAGCCAATAGGGTATGGAACTCAGGAAGGGCTCAATTCATTTCTATGATGGCTTTACAACATGGGTTGTTAAAGTGCTAAAGACCGCATAGGGGGGAGAACATGGGTAGCCACTAGGAAGAAAACCGTTCATTTGGGCAGGAAGGAATTACTTTTTTGAAATTAGTCGTTACCAAGGCGTTAGTTGTAGTAGAAACTAAGCATTTTAGGTAGACGCGTTCTTTACGATTTGCTTATGAAGTCAGAACCAAGGATATTAATTTTAAGTTACCTGTAACTGTAAAGTACATATTTTGACACAAAGTAAAAAACATGCACTACCCAAACACGCAGTATGCTTATTTATATTTGGCCTTAAGAGTGAGCTAGTACGAAGGCACAACACGACTCTTGAATAAGGAGTACAAAGTTACTTTTCATCCATCCACTATCTGACATAAAACGCTAATAGAAACGCAAACCACCTGAGGACCATCCGAAATTACACAAGCTATAGCGTAATTTCCCTAGGGGGGAAAGTCCTCCTCACTTTCTCACTTTGTCCTGACTCAGGTGACTGCTCTGAGGTGCGTAATAAAACTTATGTTAGCAGCACTCACTGCAAACATTTAATTGCAGCAAGGACATTCTTTATTGTTTAATGTGAGTGCTTTGACTTTGAGTATTTATTTGCTGAAAAGGGAATGGGGAAGTTGCAACGTTTCTATAGAACTTACTTCTCCAGTACAGGTGGAATTACTAACTCAGGACGCATCAGTGCAAGGTTCTGCAGCGCTTGAGCGGCCTCCAGGCTTCCAGTTTTACTGAACATAGCCAGAAGAACAGGTTGAATAATGCACTCTACAAAGTCAGTAACATCCTGATCAGTAAGTTTATGACTATCAGGCACAGGAGTCAACCACGTCACTTTCTTGTAGCGCTCACGATGCAACCTTCTGACAACACCACTGGGTAACCTTTGAAGTAGTTTCATCAGTTTGTTCTGTTGAATAGAAAAGAGATCAATTCAATCAATTGACAAGACCATCAATTCAAGACAATCAATTTCAATTACTTGGCAGCAGTAAAACCAAAACCTGAGTTGCTAAGTGTACAACAGACAGTTAATAAGCTAACACCTTGAAATTGCACAACTATCATAAAGAAAAACTCCAAAGAGTTCTAAAATACAAGGTCCCAAATTTGTCATTAAGCTTCAGTTCACAAAACAGCAAGGTTATGCTGCCAGCACTATACCTTACGATTCTTTTAAAGACTGGGGAAAATATGTACAAAGGATACAGTCAAGAATCAAGATTACTTGCCAATAATTGGGAGATCTCTGAGAGCATTCTCTGCACATTTACATTTATGTAAGCACCCTGATTTAGAACAAGTCAGCTCCTCTTGCACAGCTTAGGCCAGCCTTGCCATTTTAACCTGCACCTTTTACAGCTATCACAGAGATGCCCTCACAGTCTCTAGCAGAAAAATCCCCTAGTTACATCATCAAAAAGGCTACATAGATTTTGCTATCTGGGAAATGGTAGCTCAACAACATGAAAAGGTATGCGCACTATATGTATTACACAGAAAACACCGATGCTGTAGATCGCCCCTCTCTGAAGGGCTGACTTATTTTTCTTAGCAATACATTTCTTAGATGTCTAGTTTCAGACTAAACTGCGCTTGGTTAGATGTTTGAAGGAGACTTCCATTAGCTGCGTTCCTGACATCAGAATCAAAGCATGATTTGAATTACAGTGTGATGACATAGCCTGAAATTTAAAGACTCAAAACCAAAAGACAAGCAAACTGATAGAACATGTAGTACATCTATCAGCACCTTTGATTTGGCAAGTTTGACTGCTGGTATTGCAGGCAGCAAAGTTATCATTGTCTTCATAGGCAAGAAACTCACCAGCCAGCGCCCATTATTTGAAGGATGATAAAAAGAAGCAATGCTATTGAACAGTCCAGACAAATGCTTCTGCACTAGTTTACTCGGTCCACCCTGTTCAAAATAAAACATACAAATTTACTATACGGATCAAGTTTAACACGAAAAGGCAGCACACAGCACTACAAAGGTAAATGAGTATTCTCACTTAACTACAGCCATTGACTCAAAGCATCAAACTACATGTGCAACCCCCTCTCCCACCAAACTTAGCACCAAGAAGGCAAGTTCTCTCCCTCTGATGTGAGAAGGTACACTATTAAATGCAAGAATTCTGTTGTATGGCAGGACTAAGTCTGCATCTGCAGCAGTGTTTGTAGCTGGCTGTGAACTTCCAGAATGCCACAGATACCTGCTGTGATATAAACCTTTTGGCCCACATTCCAAATTGACAGTAAGACATTGCACTTTAAAATAAATCCTGGGCCAAACAAAGCCTAAAAATGCTTCTGCTGGGAGGCAGACAGCAGAAAAGAGATCCATTTTAAAATGCATGGTTGCTTACAGCTTAGCATTAAGTTTTTGTTGTATTTTACAAAAACGTTACCGACCATCATGGCAGTGATCCACATTACTGCGTGTCCTACATCATAAGCATTCGTTAAGAATCTTGGGACAACAACTTGGTTGCTACCCACTGGAAGATTTAAACTCCTCAAGATCCTCGTAAAAATCTGTAAGAAGAAGTCAGTTACTGTAAATCAGCCACATTATTAAAATAGTATCAGTTTAGACAGTTACCATAATAAATTGCTCCTGCACATTTTTTTTTTCCTATTTTCTTGCTGGAGCAAACATTTTCTGGGTAAATTAACAGTGGACATGAACAGTTTCAGCTCTCAAGATTGACACTATGACGGGGGAAACATTTTTACAGAAAGCTAAAGTGTTTTATTTCCTTGAATTTAGAAAAACTCAGAACTCTAACATTCAGATTAGCTGCACTACAAAATAAGAATTAAACGAGCATAACCTGAAATCGTTTCAAACAGTGCATACTAACTATCTTTCTGATACTACTGAAGAGGCACATGCAGGAGAGCAGGTTGAAGAACAATTTTTCATCTGTCTCCCTTAAATTTCAGACAACAGAATTAAGGTGCAGCACCT